TTTGTCACTTTAACTCAGGTACAATCAAGCGAATGCTGGAGATACAAAGTGGCATACCAATGGACCAACAAAGTCTTTTAGGATGGCCAAACCATCTACAGATAAGTGACGAGGTAAGGTTTATACAGGTGCTGAAGTATACAAAGATAGAATTTTTTTTTTAAATTTGCATTTAGTTGAATGACAACTTAAAAACTGATCAGACTTTCTTAGTAGGTATATTTAGTCAGGCTCTTGTGGGACATTGTCATTATATTAAGCCTTTGTCATGTGGTTCTCAAGCAGGGTGGTAGCAATTGTTTTTTTAGCAGTCTTGAGCTGTTTCATGCCAACTTGGTCATTCCCCCACCCTCACCCGTGCTGATCCAATTAGTATGGATGGATGGCTGGAATGGTAGCTTATAGCTGGAGTGCAGGGCAACACATTTGGTTAATAGTGAACAATTACTCCCAATTAATTTAAACTATCAAGTACTACCATCCTATACCCCTCCAGTGTATCTTATGCTCTACTTTTTCCAGTGTAATATTCCTCACTGGTTGCTCTTGGATCTTTCCTCAATAGAGTGTGCTGAGCACTTTAAACTTAAGAGATGAGACAGCCCTGGTTCTAATGAGCCGTGTGGTGACAGAACACCTAAAGAAAGTCAACCATGCTCATTAAAAAGAAGTATGAATGGTGAAACTAGGTAATGATTTCAAATCATCAGATGAATGTTTTGAGAGTATAATCATATGATAAGTAACCTCAATTCTAACTCTCTAGGCATTAAAGAGCAGTGATTGCTCAATGTTCTACTCTAATGAGACAGATTTTCACAAATGTTTCATAAAATTAATATGATTTGGTATGATTGGGTCTAAAGTGTTGTTGGCCAAAATAAAGTCTTGAAAATCTTGACTCTTCAATCTTTCGTACTGCATATGCTAGTTCAAATTCTTACCACTGGACGAAAGAGATGGTGACAAGAATTTGTTAGTTAAACAGTATTTTTAAGTTACCAGGGACTATTTCAAAGCACATTCGTAACTAAAATAAGACCTTTGGACTTCATCAATCATGAAACAGATTTCCATCTTTTTTCCAGCTCTTCCTCAAAAAGCTGCAACTCTCTGGAAAAGATCATGTTAAACATTCAGTTTGGAAGTAGGGAATTTAACTTACCTTATGCTTTAACAAAGACTATAGGAGAGGTAAGTTATGATATATTTTTCATGATACAATCTTTCTGGCCCTGGATGGGCAAGCTTAAATTGCAAACTTCAATGAATACTGGTGTGTGCAAAGCCGGATGGGTGGATGGGAACTAATCAGGAAAAAGCATTGTCCACTGTTTGTGCAAAAACAAGTGAATTCTAGTCATAGACCCAAGTCTAAAGGAAAATGAGAAAATAAGTTGCCTCCAATCACTCCTGAGTTTCTTTTTCTAACTAACAAGAATAAAGGAAAAGTTTTTATTGTAAATTTTTTTTTTGTGGTCATTCTGTATGTGCCTGAAATTTTAATTCTCAGTTCAGAAGTGATGACTTAGAGCCAGTTATTTTCCTGTGTGGCCCTCCCAGTCAGTCAATAAGTACAGCTGTAAATGTACATTATGTTAATACTTAATTTATACATCAAGTATATAAATTATTACCTAGAACTCATACTCATAACTGGGCATGCTCATGAACTCATGCTCATAACTGTTTTTGATTGGTTCTGTAGTTATACAATGTAAGTATCAATTTTTTTTTACTTGTAACAGTTAAATTATGTTAAGTAATGATTTTTTGTTTTAGGTGAAGACTGATATTCTCTCGCTGTCTG